TTTGCTCCGCGCGCATACGAACGATCGCCCTCTTTCAGAAAGGGAAAACGCGTGAGAGTCGTGTAAAAGCGTTTATTTTTATCTGACGATATCGAATTCTGCGGCGCGATGCACACTCGAGAGTTTATCCGCGCATTTTTTGCTCGTGCACCTGTAACTTCGCTTCGTCGGTGTGAGTGCTTTACTTTACCGAGTCGATCAATCCATCCCCCCTCCCCCCATTATCCTTTTCGTTCTCAGCTCGGTAATTATGTAGCTCTCACGAATTAAAAAATTACACTTCAGAGATTACTACCGTCTGTACTATTATTTCGGAAATAGATAAGTAAACTTTATCTTTCTCGATAACAGAAGCGGACGTAGATTGTTCCTTTTTGTGTAGCTTTTTATGAAGACTGACGAACGAGACGTTGTGTTAGCGAAGGGATATAGAAATATCTTTCTGTCAATACTTGGGAGTAGACTGGAGAGATGAAAGGTTACAAAATATGATCATAACAAGGACGTCCTGAGGGGAAAGGGAGGATGTCCATCCTTGGCCCGCATCCGGTGGCAAAGCGGAGCCACGATATCGAGAGACACCCCTGAGATGGCTCACCCTGTTTTCGGCACGGCGAACTTCTGGACCTCGCGTTTCACGCGACCCCACTTGCAGTCCCCGGCCTCCCGCGCGTTGCCGCGAGACAAACAGCATTAACTTCTCTCGCGGCGTTCTCGAATAAAGTTGCACAGATTTGTCACGGGACAAAAACCGGCACGTTCCGCCTCCGTGACCGAGGCAGAGTGGTAAAAGGGGGAAGGGACGGTGGTGGCTTTCTAGATTTCTTCCTCCGGTTTCCTAGACGGCTGAAAAGTGGCTTCCTTCGGGCCCTTTATGTTTTCCTCCCGCGCGTTTCGCCAACTTCCCGCCGCGGCTTCCGCTTTTTCGTATACACGATGTCCCAGAAAACCGACGTAATGCGAGACAGAAGGGGCGACGTTCCCGGGATGAAATTTCGAAGGAGCTTTTTCCACATTAGAATCGAGACCTGGTTATGTCTCGGAAGAAACGAACAAACAATAAAACTTTTTGTATACCTCAATCGACGACGAAAATGAATTTTGCGAGAGCAACCGCGATAACTTGAGCGGGATCCTCCTTGAGAAAAATTATTTATTCAATTCGAGTAAAATTCAATTGTAACTTTTTCTCTATTTTTCTTTTTATCCCGAATTTCGACTTTGCGACGTCAGAAAGACTAGGATAAGGTGGAAAGTGCGATGGAAGAAATATTCCGCAACGAGATACGCGATCTTCACTAAGTATTTGTCGTATCCAGGCAATCGTCTTGGGGGATAAACGCGTGTTGGATTTCGACGGCGATGGGGTTTCGCAAGAACTTCATAAAAGCTTATATGATCGTATTGCGTACATTCGCGAGCGAGGCATCCTCCGCGGGGGTTTCCCGCAAAAGAAAGGGAATTGTGATGTAAGGGGTATCTCGTCATACGCGCGAAAAGCCAGACACCGTGCACTTGGAGTTTTGTTTGCGCATTAGCATGTACGTAATCGTCGAACGTCGGTCTTTCGGCCACGCATACGTTGAGAACCTCGCGAATAAAGTGCACGTGAACACTCCGAAGAGTCGCCCGCGTATTCCAAAACTATTCGGACAATATTCAGTCACGGATACTCGGATACTAGCTTTTAGGTAAAAACGTATGAAAATAAATCCAGAGAAATCTAAAATGTACGCAATCCAGTGGCGGCAGTTCTTTCGCGATCGATCTCCAGCGAGCTCGATCGTCAGAGGAACGCTCGGCGTGCCGAAAGGGGGTAAAAGTAATTTCGGGGTGCGATTCAATGTAAGTAAATACCACTCTCCTCCGACCGCGCATAAAATTCCAACGGCATTGGGAATCTCCTAGGAACTCGCGCCATCGCCATCGTCTTGTCTATTCGCGGGCGAAGAAGCGCCAGGGGCTGTTTCGATGCCGCGAGAATGAAATTGCGACGAGAAGGATTGCGGGATGAGAGAGCAGAACAGAGAGAGAGAGAGAGAGAGAGAGAGAGAGAGAGAGAGAGAGAGAGAGAGAGAGAG